AAAACAACAGTGTGTGCTTGTAGCAGATGCAGATTAAACCACTTGATTCAAAGTGTCATTGTAGTTGGGTAATTATGACACTCCAACCAGAGTGTACTAGAAGGTTTAAAAAGTAAGTCATCATAGAGTTTTAGCCTTGTAGGTATATTGATACATGTAAGCTGCCTTACAAAAAAATGTTATTATTATTATAACTAACTATAAGGTTATTTTTATAAAAAACTATAAATTTCTGTTGAAACACTGCACCAAAATTTTATAGACACTCATTTGGTTGTCAGCCCCTCTGACAGTGTAACCCAGTGTGGTCTTCACCCCCATACTGACTCCACTGACACCTATCTTGGCCCTCAATTGTTTTCCCTGGACTAAGGTATCAGAACTCCCATTTCAGTCATCGATTGCTTTTCCTGGTCTGAAGTGATCCTGCCTGGCATCCGTCATGGACTGTTTTCTTTGGACTGAGGCAATTACTTGCCCCCCATTTCAGTCACTGAATATTTCTCTTGGACTGAGGCAATGTCTGTCTTCAACTGTTTCCCTTGGCCCAAGGTGATCAAGCATGCCGTCTTGGTCATGGACTGTTTTCCCAGGGTGCAGCATCATTAACCACCATCTCCATCATCCCGTGTTGTCCTGGACTGAGGTACAAAGCCACTGTCTCAGTCATTGACTGTTTTCTCTGGATTGTGACTGGGACCTGTGATTTTACCTATTAAAAATACAAGATGGCAGAATGAATGGGCTATCACTTCCATGGTGGTATTATAAAACCTTGTGAGTTCCATCTTGGTAGCTGATGTTCTCTTTTACTGGCTTTTGAGAAACAAACTGACATATGGGGGAGGCCCACATGGCAAGGAACTGAGAGTAGTCTTTGGCCAACAGCTCAAGAGGAACTGAATCCTGACAACAACCCCCCAAGTGTGACCTTGGAAGTGGATTCTTCTCCAGGAGACGCCTGTGGCCCTGGCCAACACCTAGTCTATGAGAGGCTCCAATGCAGATCACCCAGCTAAGCCATGCCTGGACTCCTGAGCCCTAGAAATGGTGAACTGATAAATATGTGCTATTTTAAGCAACCAACCTTGGGGGCAATTTGCTATACAGCAATAACTCATGAGACAGAAGAGTAGTTGCTTTGCATTTTTATTACGTTGTTGCACCAAGACTTCACATCAGTTACTATTACTTAATGGAATCAACATACAAATTGTTATACCGTGAATCATTTTCAGTTAAGACCACGTTTTTCAGATTTTGCCAGAACAGGCCTTCTGCCTTGGGGTTATCAGGCCACCGGAGGATGGAGCTCTTGCAGATCCGCTGCCGCAGCCTCAGGTACTGCGAATGCTGTAGCACTGGCTCCAGCAGAATGAAAATAATCACGTCCATGTTCTCCTCCATCAGCCTCTGCAGGGCCAAGTAGAAAGCCGTCTTAAAGTTCCAGTTCTTTGCGTATTTTTTGGTTAAAACGAATATAGTTTTTTTGCTTTGGTTGATGCTCTGCATGAGGTTGTCAATGACAGCTAATCCCGGATCCCAGTCCCTCTCCTCCAGACAAAGGAGAACGTTTTTGTCTTCACTCTCCTCCAGGTGGAAGCGCAGCTCATTTACCACCCAGTCAGTGACAGACACATCTTTGGTGTCATAAGAAATGTAAGCGTCGTAGAAAGTTTGGGAAGTGGAGAGAGACCTGTACCCTTTTATCTTTGCTAAACACATGTGGTAGATAAACCAAACATCCCAGTAAAAAAAATGATGAGCCAGGGCAGCTAACATAACCATGGTGGTGATAAAGAATGTGAAGAAAAATAACACTGCCGCAATGGTATCTGAAACACAGGTCATCAGCTCTATGCTCAAAATACTCTTCCCACTTTGATCTCCAGGACTGCCACAGATGACATCTGTCAATCTAGGAATTGTGACATTTAGATTTTCATTCATCCATCTATGGAAATCTCCAATCTCACATGTGCAGTCAAAAGGGTTTCCTCCTAGTTCCAAAACAGCTAAGTTGGTGGCTGTCCTAGTTTGAAGTGTGGATTTGTTGATCATCTTTAGCAGGTTGTAACTTAAGTCGAGGTGGACCAGACTGCCGGCCTCGGAAAAGAAGCCAGAGGGCAGCTGGGAAATCCTGTTTTGCCTCAGCAGCAGGGTCTGAAGAGAAGGTGTGAATGCAGACAGTCCATTAGTTAACATGGATAGCTGGTTTCCACTTAAGTCAAGCAAGCGGAGGAAAGGAAACTGCTGGAGTAACGTCCAGTTAAAGGAATTTAAGTTATTATTGTTTACATATAGTTCTGTGAGTTTCTGGGGCAAGTTAAGGAAGGCTTGATTCGGGATGTGCTGAAGATTATTAAAGGATATGTCAAGCCGGGTCAGATTCCTGAGAAATGTGAAAAGGTGCCAGTACCTGTCATCCTCTGCATACCACAGAAGATCCAGGCGGTTTCCACTAAACACTAATTCTTCCAGGGACATGCTGGTCAGTTCAAATTCTGTTAATGTGTAAATGCTGTTGTGACTTAAGTTTAAAACCTTCAGCTGTGTTAAATTTTTAATAAATCCTAGACGATGCGTTACCCCAGCTATCCGGAAATAGTGTGCATTATAGCTGAGATCTAGAACCTCTAAGTCCACCAATTCTGTGAGAGCTTTATCATCATCAAAGTCCAGTTTGTTGTTGGTCAGATCCAAATATTTCACACGAGGCACAGCTGAAAACTCTGCTCCATGTAGCACTTGGGCATTGCCATTTGAGGAAAGATTTAAGCAGGCAATGTCACCAAAAGACTCGAATTGCTTTTGTCCAATAAAGAAAATAGTGTTCAAGCTTAGATCTAAGGCTTTGCCGTAATTGCTGCATTGGGGCTTTATTAAAGGATTGGTGTTATGATAAAAATTCGAATGTGGGTCAAACTCAGTATATGCTGAGCGTGCTCTAAGGATATGACTTTGGAGAGATGAACCGTTTGTATTTGTTTGCCTGATGTCATTTACCAAGGGTGATATTCTGTTTTCTGACAAATAAATAATACTCAGGTTGTGGAACCGTTGGAAAATGGTGAAGTCAATTTGCTTAATGAAGTTAATGCCCAAGTTGATAGTCCTTAAGTTGGGAAGCCCTACCAGAGGCTGGAAGTCTTCTTTCCTAAGTTCCTGGAACACATAACCTCTTAAATGCAATACCTGGAGAGACACAAGCTTAGAGAAGTTTTTGGAAATATTAATATGCTGTGGATATTCCGTCTTTACATAGTTAAAAGATAAGTCAAGTATTTCTAAAGATGGCAGGTATGTTAAAAATGCCCCAGAGGCTATTTCATGCACTAAGTAGTTGAATTCAAGATACAGTACCTTTAGATGACTCATATTATAGAACCAGCTTGCAGGAATCTTTCGGAGAGAAGTGCTGGAGAGGTTTAGGTAGAGAAGGTGGGTCAGGGTTTGAAAAGCAAGGGGATGTATCTGAAGTGAAGCATTTGCTTTACAAGGTTCACAAGGAAACGGTGCATTGAAACACCTCGGACAGTTCCCGCTTAAATCTAGTGTCCTTAAATTTTTCAGTTCCTTGAAGTCTTCTTGACTGATGTTTTGGATCTTGGTGTTGCTCAGATAAAGTTCTCTAAGGGAGCTAGGCAGTTTTGGTGGCACATGGTAAAGAGTATTGAAAGACAGTGATAGCACTGTCAAATTTGTAAGCTTCTCAAATGTTCCTTCTTCTATGTCAAACGTTTTTTTGCAATCATGGCCAAAATAGCAGTTCCAGCCTAAATAAAGACTTTGCAAGTTCGTTAGTTCTGAGGTGTTCTTTTTAGTCAGCACAGTGATATTGTTTTGGATTAAACTAAGTTCTCTCAAAGACTCTGGCAAACCAATGGGTATTTTGTTTAACTTGTTGTCTTCAAGCAGTAACTCTATTAGGTTTCTGAGGCTCAGAAATGCCCCGTCTGTAATTGTCATGCCTTCTTTACTCATGTCAGGATTTTCATTCTGATGCTGTCGCTTTGCGTTGTGGTTTAGATTGATTTTAGTAAGATCTTGCAGCCCTTGAAATGATTCCTTCGTTATGTGTGTGATGAAATTCTCAGACAGGTCTAGTTCTGTCACATATCTGCCTACTGTTCGGGGAACTTCTTGCAGTTGACGATCGTTACATTCTGCGATAATAGAGACATTCTCCCTTTTCTCATCACAGGGATAGCTTCGAGGATAATTTGCTTTAGCGAAAAACTCACAGGAACCAGAGATAAGCAGGGAAAGGGAGATGAGAAGTGAAGACTGGAGGATCATGTTTTCCTAAGGAAAAGAAAAAAGGGAAGTACAATATTAGTGTGGCAATAGTCACCAAGCACTTCATTCTGGAATTAACAGTGCTTCACCATGCTTTGTATGAGTTTTGAAGTACACATTCTCTTAATAATGAAACAACTTACATTAAATTAGCTTCAGATGTTTTTAAATAATTAGGTTCAATGTGCTTTTAATTTTTCAATGTGTTCAGCTTTTTGGTGCTAAAAGAAGTTGAGGATGAAGCCATCCATCTGAGATTGTGATGAATAGAAGACCTGGGAAGCTCTTGCAGGGATTCCCCACCACCAGAATAAGTCTGATGGTGGACCACCACTATGGGTCATGTGGTCTGTAGCACAGCTATCTGGGTACTTACAACACCAATCCCTTTGGTTTTTGTTTTGTCTGTAACACTGGGAGACACAAGTGCACCAAGTGGCATAAATCTTGATGAAGTTTTGGCCAACACCTAAGAAGAGTTCAGATCTAACTTCTGTATGGTATCATCCAAGATCATCAAGCCAGAGTCTTCTTTGCCTTATGTCCTCTCTCTCACAGGGATTCCCCAGCACTCTTTTTCTATACTTCTGTGCTGATATCTATATCATGATGGCATAGTGCCTAAGGCATTTGAGTGCTAACCAGAAGGGTGGCTGTTCAAACCCACCAGAAGGAAGACTGGGCAATCTACTTGTGCACAGATACCACCTCAGAAAACCAAGGAGGGGTCGCTATGAGTTGAATCGACTCAATGACAGTGAGCTTGTTTTTTTGTTTTTCATCTCCTCACATGACTGGAATGTGGGATCCTTATGTTGGTACTAATAACAGAGTGCCAGATATTGTGGTAAGTGCCTCATAAACATTTCCTCGCCCAGTGTAATGCTCACAGCAACACAGTGAGGTAGGTTCTAGTCTTAGTCACATTTTGCAGGTAGGAAACAAACTCAGAGACTTCCTAACTTTCAGAAGGACAACATTGTTGAGTCAAGACTTGAGTCAGCAGGCGATTTCTCTGGCCCCACTCAGGGATGCGTGAACCTCACCCAGGCCCCTCTCGGGGATCCATAAACCTCTCCTGGGAGTGCAGAATAAAAATTTCTCTTTAACCCCACTTTTGTGCGTCCTCTTCTCCTTACTGCGACCTTACATCGGGTGCATTGGCCAGGAAGGGGAAGTGTGGTGCAAGTAATCTCTGCTGGAACAGAGTGCTGCACCCCCCCCCTTCTCCCTTTCCTCCTCCTTTTCATGGACCAGGAAACTCCAGCCTCCATCATCCAATACCGGTGAGTTTCCCATTTTAATTAGTTTCCCAATCCTGGGCACCTAGATCCCAAGTCCCGGTTCCACTTCCAGAGCCTCTGTCCACACACAATGAACTCACATCAGAGTCTCTTCCACTCCAAAGGCTGAGGTACCCTGGGGATGCCCTGGGTTCCCTGTCTTTCCACGGCATAACCGTTCCAGACTGAAGACTACAGTGGAGACGTACACTGTTTTCTTCCAGTCTCCATTTCCAAGATCCTGGTGAAACGACTGGGACGCTGGTCCTTTGACAGAATCTTTCCCCCGGGACTTAAGGGATCATGGATAATCAGAACTCCAAACCAGACCCAACTACTCCCCTTGGGTGTCTCTTCCTCAATCTCTGTGCCCTGGGGCTGGCTCAGGACTTACGTTCCAAACGCCTAACTTTCTATTGCAATACTGTTAGGCCCCAGTAATAATTCTCGATGGCCTGAGCAAGGAACTTTCGATTTTAACATCCTCACTGATCTTGATAATTTCTGTTGCCACGTAGGCAAATGGCTGGAGGTTCACTACATCCAAACTTTCTTTTACCTGCGCTCCCATCTCTCTCTCTCTCTCTGCTTTACTTACAATACCACCCAAATTCTCCTAACACATGAAACTCCTATTCACACCTCCTCAAACTCCCTCTAAAGACTCCTCAACCCCTCTCAATTTCCCTAGCCTAAAATCTTTGGGGTTAGAGTCCCCTTTGGCCTCTTTGGGGGTTTGAGTCCCCCTTGGCCGGGTTAGGTAGTGTAGAGGGTTCAAGTCCCTCTAGCAGCTCTAGTAGAGAGTTCACATTCGGTTTCGTTGGGGTTGGTGTCTGT